ATATAATGACAGCTGAATGTTAAGTTATATTAATATGATTGACATCATTTTCTAGTTATGAAGTTGTTGTAATGGCATTCATGTGTTTTGATAAACACAAAATTCCTTATTCCAAACTTGAATCATGTCTAGAAATGAAGACTTGATAAAAGTGGATAAACAAATGTCCACCATGATGACATGATAGGTATATATCACAATCCTCTCTGCCAGATCTATTTACAACCTCAACGGCATCTATTGACAACCTGAGGGAAAGTGCTTAACAACCTTAGTAGTGCCCCTGACAATTCACTATATGGGATGCCACGGTTTCTTAAAAAATTATATTATCAGCACATATGATGAACTTAACAATATAATGGGAGGCATTTTGAAGTCATTAATAGTTTTAAGTAAACCCAGCAGGATTACGGCACATTTTTATTGTTGATATTCATTTACAACCTTAGCGGTGGTTGTTGACAACCTGAGAAGAAGTAGTTAACAACCTCAACAGTGTCCCTGACAACTCACTCTATCGGATACCACAGCTTCTAAAAAAATTGTATTATCAGCACATATAATGACCTTAACAATATAATGTGAGGTATTTTGAAGTCATTAACAGCTGTAACTGAACCCAATAGGATTACAGTAGATTTTTGTTGTAGAGATTCATTTACAACCTTAATGGCGATTGTTGACAATATGAAGAGAAGTGGTTAACAACCTTGGCAGTGCCCTTGACAACTCACGCTGTTGGATATCACAGTCTCAATGTAGCATCAAATTATAACAAAATGATATCATGTTACAACTTTAACTCAACAATCATGTGTTAAGAAATCATTGAACATTGCAAGTAGGAGAAATTGTCACTTTATATCAATAATATAATTCAGACTACTAATAACAACCTCCACAGCATCTGATAACAAGTCTATTATAGCCTATTGACAAGTACATCAAAATACAGATATGATGTTATGTCATATTACAACCATATATCATTTACCACTTGATATATCTGTACAATATAACTACACCAAATTTACAACCCATTCGAAAAAGCACACAGGTTGCATGTATGGATAATGACGGATAACTTGAGGTGTGAGTTATGATATTTACAAAACAATTATGTCACAAGCATTCACAAAAAGAAATATAAATAAGTCACCAACAAAGCTCAACTTGGATTAGAGTTCTGGCAAGTCTTTATAGTGTGACCTCGCTTATGGCGTCTTCCATAGTGGTAACGTTTTTTATTTTGAAACTGAGATTCAATTCTTCTTTTCTTTGGCCTCCCTGGGGGTCTTTTAGTGATTGGTGTGCCTTTCTTTATCATTCTTGTTCTTACACAACCTCCAACATATTGCATTTCACCTTAATAAATTGTCCCCCTATATAGAGGTAACAAAACAAATGCTTCCCACTTGAAGTTGCCATATTTCATATCAATCTGTCAGAATCACTTGTTAATAACAAGTCATACAGTTATATTAACAACATTCGATATATCCATTAACAAGACATTTAACAATCACATCACAGGGCTTATAACAATAAAAACCTCTCATTTTCCTCTGCAACACAGCATCAATTACCGGGAAAACAGAGCATCAATCACCAAAAAACAGAGCATCACCTTATAACCCTAACCACGCATAACAAAACCACACCTAAGATGATTAAGACCACATATGATTAAAATGAGCTTCCCTTGATAATTCAAGTAGGGGTGAGCAAAACCGAACCGTAACCGAAAATCGAACCGAACCGAATTCAATTTCGGTTTTTCGGTTCGGTTATATATTCGGTTTTTATTTTTTAAATAATTCGGTTTTGGTGTTCGGTTCGGTTAGTAGAAAAATTTTTCGGTTATAACCGAATAACCGAAATAAATATATCATATATTTATATTTAATAAATATTATTATAATAAATATATATGTGGGTATATGTGAACTTTTTTAATATATTTATATTCAATAAATATGGTTATAACAAATATTATTATAATAAATCACATTGAATCATGAAATATTTATTAATTAATAGTTGTAATTATGTTTTATTATTATTTTTAATTTAAAATCATTTTTTATATTTATATATTTTCAGTTAATCGGTTAACCGAACCGAAATTTTCAGTTAATTCGGTTTCGGTTAGTTCAGTTAATCGGTTTCGGTTCGGTTTCTAAAATTTACTCTATTCGGTTATTCGGTTAGTTCGGTTATCACCGATAACCGAACCGAAAAACCGAATACTCACCCCTAAATTCAAGTGAGTTCATTTCATCCTTAATACCCACATACCTACAGTAAATCAACTTTTCAAACCAACATTGCATTTTTAATGGCTGTGGACGAAGAAGATAATGTTCTTAATGATAGCACCTACAAAGAAGATGGGAAAAGAAAACATTGCTTGCCTAAAATAATGGACACAATGGCATCTGTTATAAACCTCCGTTCCTTCTTTTTTTTAAGCTTTTTCTTCTCATATATACAGAGCACCCAACGCACCAGGAGAAGGCATTCCCCTCTTTTTTTTTCTTTTTCAATCAATGACGGCATAACAGACTTTTTATAATTGAAATTTATTACACACAAGTCCTTGGGGATTTAGAAAGAATTTGCGGATTTTCAGGGACTTTATCTGAATTAATTCTCCTATATGGGACCTATGTGATTTTCCCTAAATTATTGAGCTATAAAAAGTGAAAACAGGAAGCCTCAAAGGCGTCAATTACGCGTCAACTGTTGGACTCATGCGTTCTCTAAGACTCGGAACCTTCAATTAAGGCATCGCACAGTTGGTAATGGAGGAAACCCGGGGGCAGGATCAGGTGCAAGCACTCCTTTCGCCATTCAGGGGGCTGGCTCAAAATCAGTTGGCCTCATGGTTCCCGCGTGGAAGCCAACCCCTCATGAAAATTGGTGGGACCACCGTGAACCCTAATCACACACACGCGCACACGCACACAAGAAGCAACCACACGAACCCGCTGATTATTTCTCAATTTCTGTGCTTTGTATTTGCTGTCAAATAATAAGCACCTCTTTTTATTTTATTGAAAGACCAATTTATTAAAAACAGTAAAGTGATGCTATCTCCCCATACTTAAACGCTTCTTCTTGTCCCTAATATAAGATGCTGATTAAAAAGAACTATAGTCCAAAATATCAGACATTGTCCGAATAATAAAAATATAATATTAAAGGTAATTTTATTATTTTTTTAAAATAAAAAAATTATCATTACAGGGCACATTTAATAACTAATATTTCATTTTTTTGATATGTAAAAAAAAAAAATCAACAAACTTCTTATATTATGAAACATAGAAAGTATAAGAGTTACTTAATTAATTTGAATAAATTAAAAAATTAGTTAATATAATTATTTATAATAAATATGAGTTGATTTTTTTAAAATATCTTTTTTAAATTATAATCATTTTTAAATAAAAATTTATTAATACGTATAATTAATAAAAGTATTTAAAAGAAGCAGCTGAGAATGGATCCTCCCTGCTGTCAGGGTAACGGGTGTAGCATGGACTCATCCATGCTGAGGCAGGCAGGCAGGCCACCTCATCATGACCCTCGCAACGGATCTAACTATTATATAAAGACACTCTATTAAATTTTTTTTTTTTTAAAGGTCAAAACTACATACGGCTTCCTCGGTTCCTCTTTCCGTCTTTGGGCACTAAAGATCGTAAGCTTCCAATGAGAATATTCTAGGTTTATTCTCTTTTTATCATATATAGACACTTTAATTTAACATTATCTTCTCTACTTAATATAAGAATTAGATAATTAATTTATAAATATTAAAAAAATTAGTTAAGTTAATTATTTATAATAAATAAATATTATATTTCTTAAAATACACTTGTTAATAATATGCATTATGACTACTTTTTATGAAACATTTAATGTGTACAATCAATATAGTAAATAATTTTAAAAAAAGATAAATATATAAGATAAAGTAGATTAAGGTCTTATATTTATCATTATACTTAATTTAGAACTAGTTTGGAAAAAGTAGTCATAATTAATAATAGCCAATTTTTTCATGTTTCAAACACATGAACGTCTTGCGAGAACGCAGAATTACATACTTGCATGCAATGTTGACTTACAAAAGGGAATAAATTTCATTTAGTGAATAATATAATTTATTAAGAATTACATGATAACTTATATGAAAGTGAAAAATACAAATAGCTAGTGCTTAGACTTCATATTAATATAAGAGTTGATTGAAGATTTAATTTGGTCAAAATCTCAATCTATTTTATATTCAGTATTTATCTATTTTGCCCCTAAATAATTCTTATAGTGATTGCACATGTTAAGGAGTTCATATGAAAGGTTATTTCAATGCACATGATTGATAGTGATATTTTAGAAAATACAACATCTATTTATTATGCAAAACTAATATAACTAATTTTCTTAATATTTGTAAATTAATTATCTAGTTTTTGTAATAAAAACCGGCGGAAGTAATATTATACTTTACTTACATTTTTTATAGACTTTAATTTTTCTCCATTTTGGCTGTTTATATAACTTGTAGGTGAATGGTCTTAAAATAATATGTTTTAATTAAAGTATAAAAATATATTTATATGTAACCCTAAAAATTGTTATTTATATATTAAATATTTTTAAATAAAAATGTATTAATATTTATGATCAATAAAAGGTAAAATATATTTATATATAACCCTAAAAATTAATATTCACAAGTAAATAAAATATTTACGTATAAACCACAAATAATTTAGTAAAATAAGATTACTAAAAGCACAAATTTGATAAATTGTTACTTGTTTAAAAATTCAAAATGGCGTTATTGAGAGAGAAAAAAAAATACAGTTAAATTTAGTCAACCTATTCAAAACTTCTGATTAGTTCACCAATGTGATTGGCTGATGACTCAATTTGGTTTTTGATACCAAGAAAAAAAAATATAGATTTAATTTCATAATTGTTCACTAGAGCAATAAAGTGGCTTAATAAGCTGAACGTTTACATAAAAGTTTTACCATAAAGGCATAAACCATTCCAAAATTGAATCGGAGGGACTAATCAAAATCAAATCACAATACACCAGCATCTTTCTCCCTGGATCGAAAATAATAAAAATGAAAGAGATCCAAAACGTAAAGGAACTTCCAAAACTGATCCAAAAACATAAATATAACGATGCAATAGTAAATAGAGGATCGAGATCAATCAATTAAGCAGCAAGGGGAGCCATGGATTCTCTCTGAACAGCCTTCAACAGGAGACTATCAGCTTCAAGAGCCATCTGAAGAGGAACAAAGCCAATGCCATTAGCCATAGCAATCATCATTTTCTTCGTCTCCTCTTTGAACTCTCTCAGATCGACTCTTCCATTCAAGTCATGATCGAACTGAACAAACAGTGAGTCATAAACTCGAGCAGCTTCGTCTTCTTCAGTCTTCACGTCGATCCCAAAGTGAGTCTCGAAAACCCTAAGCCTCTTCAACTCGTTCAGCATCTCACCATAAGATAGAAGACCGTCCTTGTCGGTATCAAGTTGGCCAAACAGAGCACTCACTGATATGTCAAATGCTTCTTCGTCTTCCACGAAGTTCACTATTGTGGCACCGTCGAGAATTTCTACGCTCATCTTTATGCCTGTAACGAAGAGAGAAAGGAATATTTGAAATGTGTTTGGTTTAAATTTGTGTTTGATGAGAAGTTTGGAAACGTTGGAGGCATTTAAATAGATCGCAGCAAAAGTAGTTTCCTTGCTGTCGGTTTTCTCAATGCCGAAGCTTGCATGGGTTGTGACCGTTGCTTGAGCTTTTTTGGTCAAAGTTTCTCTATATTTAGACATCACCGACATGCTTTAATGTTTCCCGTGGATGGATGCAGTTGTATTATCACTGTCAGAACGCAACAGTGGAAACTGTGAATGAGTGCGCTTTGATTCTCTAAAATATTAAAATTATGAAGGAGGGATTTTTCTGGGGAAAATTCTAGAAAAAGAGTTTTTGAAATCATCATTTTTTAATTTAGGCACATAAGAGATAGAAATGCTCTTATATCAGATTTGAAAAAATAAGCTATCAAACCTGTCATTGCATTATTACCATTGCTATTTAATACTTGTTATTTTCAGTTCATAATTTGTCAATAAATAATTTGTCATTACTACTCCCTCCGTTCCTTATTATAAGAGACACTTGATACTTATGGCATGTTCCTATATATAAGAGACACTTAAAAGTTGTCTCTATTTTTTTGTATTGATTTTCTATTTTACCCATATTTATTGTCTCCAATTCACACTTTCTCTCCCTCTCACTTCTCTTTCTTTCAATAATTTAATTATTCTCTCTCATGCTCTCTCTCTTTATTAATGAGGGCATTTTTGAAAAAAAATTATATTGATTGTTCTTAACTAATTTTAACTGCTTTTTTGATCAACGTAATTCGGTTATTCGTCTCTTATAATAAGGAACGGAGGGAGTATTATTTTTTTTTGTTATTCAATACTTATTATTATCAGTTCACAATTTGTTAATACATTTTTTGATATAAGAGCATTTTAGTTATTGAATTATATTTACAAAATACCATATCATATACCACTTCCTCTCCTGGGATTTTGAAGTGTTAGGTGCATGGTTTGGAATATCATATTTTTCAGCTTTTTTTATTTGTCATTTTTTTTGGGGACAAAATATTAGATCAGATTTTTATATCTATTATGCTAAATTCTCTAATCTTTTATATATATATATATGTGTGTGTGTGTGTGTAGAAATTGCTATGTGAGATTAGAATTCATCAAGAGGGTTTATTGATTTTCTTTATTAATATTGTCAATATTTATCTTTAATATTTCTGGGACTCACTTTTTATTTATCATGCTTTTCAATTCTTCAGTATTAATTTTTTTTTTAACATTTTCAATACTTTTTCATCTTTTATTTTAGTACTACCTTCGGTTCTTAATATAAGACCTTATTTGATTTTTATTTTGATTTTAATTATAACACCCCAATCCACTTTGTCTCTTATACTTATGTATTTTTTTTTCTAAGATAGTCCTTTTAATAATAGTTATTCTAGCCAATCAACTTAGTAAGTAAGGATATTTTAGGAAAGACAACACATATATATTACAAATAACTAATTTAACTTATTTCTTTAATCTCCTCAAATAAGTCAACTAGCTCTTATAATTAGAACTGGAGGTAGTATCACTTAACTTTAAATAATTTAGAACTACAAATAGAAAAAAAATTTAGAAAAAGCTTAGGTATTACCTTAGATGCTTAAGGTGTTTGCATCTATGGACATATGAACTTTTTATACATTATTCATCATATAACAAGCTCTTGTTTTGAATATTTTTAATACCTTAAAATCAATTATTCTAATTTGATAGGACAATGTATGTTAGGCATATAAAACTAAGATACGTACGTCTTCTAAAACATTAGTGCCAAAAAGATCAAAGATGAGTACTTAAAAAATCGACTTGATACAATTTTAATTTTGCGATAAATTTGTACTTAAAAAAACTTTTAAATACCGAATGCTCTTAAATAAAAAGTATCGTGACAAATTTACATCTTGAGTCTCACCTTTCAGTTCTATTTATAAGCTTTGAATTTTAAAAATGATTTAGTCCATTTTATAAGTTTTAATTTGAGTTTGTCTTAATATTTAATAATTTTTTTTAATGTTTCTCTTAATTATTTTTCTCTTGTCACATTTTCTCATATATTTTTTTAATCCTTTTTCTCATTTATGATAAGGACATATTTAAAAATATAAGTATATTTTTAATATATTTATTATTTTAAATTAATTTATATTTGTAACTAATTATTTATTATTTATAAATTAATTATTCAAAGTTTATAACGAATATACGGGAGCGTACAAAAATAGGAAGTAGGGAGTTTAAAACAGTAATTAGGTATCAACTTTTAGAGTCATTCATTGTGACCCTGGACACCTTTTGGAAGTCCGAACCTTAAATCAAGGCATTGTGCCGAGGAGACATTTCAGGTGCGGGCCCTCCATTTTGCGAATCAGTGGGCTGCCGTACTCAAAATTAAAAATCATGACATGACTGTCAAACTAATAATATAAATAAAAATAATTATATAAGTATATAATAATAAAAAAGATTAACAATAAGTTTAATTTTAAATTTAAGAATTAGATAAATAATTTATAAATATTAAAAAATTATTTAAACTAATTATTTATAGCAAATGGTCTATTTTTAAGTTACCCCATATAATAATTACTCTCACTGATAGAAATCCTTTTTTAATATACATAATCGATACAAAGAGTTTGACAAAAATGTATGAAATTAAAAAATAAAATAAATTAAGATATTATATTTAAAACAACTAATGCTAAGTTTCAAGTAATTAACTGATTTTTATATTTAGAAAGTATGGATTTTTCAATAAAATAATATCATAATTCATATGACTACAAGTAGCCTGAAAATGTTTTAGGTTTTTCAAGAGAGTTAATTTCTTTTATAAAAATTTTGATGGGGTTTTTAAACTTTTTCAGTCTTCTTTTGTTAATTAGGATCATAACCTGTATGATCTTCTAAAAGCTGATTGGGGTTTTAGTCTAATTCTGGGTTCTAACTACTTAACTCTATTTCAACCTAAGTTATATATAAAAATGGTTTTCTTCTCCAAGCTGAATTGTTAGTTTGGTTGATGGTTCAACTGGTTAAATTTTATTTATAGTCCAATCTGATTTTTTAATCACTATTTTTAACCATAAATCATTCATAGAAACTTAACAAATGAAGCATAGAAGTATATATTTGCTTCATTCGAATTGGGTTTTAATTAAGTCTTAAACTTGAATCAAAATAAATTACTCAATATCCTTTTATTGAATTTCAAATACTCTAGTTACTTCTAAATTTTATTTAAGAGTTTGGGTTTGACCTCGAAGGTAAAGTTATATTCCTTCCTTTTTGTCTCCTATAGTTCTTTTAATCAAAATTTTGTTTTTCTCTTCTCATAATTATGATATGGTTGTTTTAGAAAAAAGTGTTACAAATTCTCTCGCACTTTATTGTTCCCCTATATAAGTTACTTGTAAAAAAAAAAAAATTGTCCCTAAATACAAGTTCCTTGTAAAGTAATTAATGACATTTTTTAAATTTTACTCTTGTTGAATATTACAAAGAAAATGTGAGAGAAAATATATATAATATTTTTTGAAAACCTTTTTACAAGTGTGAAAATATTATCAAATTAATACATTTCTTAGTAAGTGAGAATTAGATATAAGTGACTTATATTAATTAAAATAACAAATTTATCTCCTTTTTTTCAAAGAATCTACAAATTAATTAGGAGAATATTATATTTAGGACCCGCTAAACCCAAATCACACACGCGCACATCTTTCCAAGTTACTGCATTTTTAGACATTAACTTTTGGACTCATAAGCATTTGCGGCACACCGACATCCCTTTAAAGCTTTGAACCTTAAAATTAGCGAGAATTACATTCCAGTCCTATATAAAAAAATAATCACTATAAAATTTCAAGTAACAACTTGAACAGCATGTAATAACAAGTCGTATAGTGGGAATCACATACTTTAAGGTATTGAACTGTTTGTGTCGGAAGAAATCTGGGGGCAGGTTCCTGTGCGAGCACCCCTTTTTGCCACTCAGTGGGCTGCCATCCTCAAAATCAGTTGGCTTCATATGGTTGACGCGTGGAAGCCAATCTCTGGGGAAAATTGGCGCCGACCATGATCACTAATTTCAACTTTTCCAGCATACAACGCAACGCAGTAAATCACGCGAACCGGCCGGCCCACTGGTTATGATTTATTTCTCACTTTCCACTAATAATACCACGTTCCATTACTTCTGTGCTTTGTTTTGTTGCCGAATCCTCTATTAATATTCATCTTTGTTGGCCATTGCAATTGTTTCTTATTAAAAAAAATTGCTGATAGTATTTATTAATTTCTGAAATTTGATTTCGTTTTGATTTCGGTCTTGAAATTTAAAAGCAACAGTGGTGTTGATCTCCTAAGATTTAACCACGTTTTGGTCTAGCTAAATATTTTTGGGACCTAAAACAGTGTTTTCGGTTCTTGAAACAAGATTTTAAGGATAAATCAAAATCAAAGTGAGGTCAAATTTCAAAAGTAGTTAGAGATGATATTAATTCTAGAAAAATAATATAATGAATAATAGTATTATAATATTCTTTCATTTTTAATATAAGACTTATTTAACTAATTTGATTAAATTAAAAAGTTAAATAATTTGATTATAAGAAATATAACATATGTTTCCTTAAACACCATAATCATTGTTTTTAATAGTTCTCTTTTTTCTACTTAATTATGGTTAGGAAAGTGTTAATAGGGATAATTTAGAAAATGTGAAACAAAAAATTTTATGAGAAACTAGTACATATTTTGCCCATATATTTATTTGCAATTTTGCCCATCAATTTTATGCTGCTACTACAGCACGGAAACATACAAAACACACTAACTTATTTCCAAGATATTAATAGGCTGCTTCATATTTTGCCCATCTTCCATTTCAAGTATCTTTCCACAATGTCCAATCCACAAAGTTCTTTCACCACAGGCATGGTTGCTGGCACATCTAATTGGAATGGCTTGTCAAGTTCATCTGAGTTGCTCCATGAATGA